CAGCAGGAACAGGGAATTCTCAGATCTGTGTGTGAGAGGTGTACAAGACAAACTTGAGGCAAGCTGCTATCTGTCTTTGCCTCTATGAAGGTGATCAGAACCCTAGCAGTACCGGTACCATGGTGGCCACTGAAGAGAGCAAGTGGCCAGAGGTGAGGCCAAGCAGGTCTGAGGTAATACAGATACTTAGCTAACTTCTTTTGGGAAGAGACTGCAGCATGATGGAATATGTTTGTTCCCCATGTTTGTTGACATCATAAATCTCTAAGAAGAAACTATTTTTTCAGTCTTTAGCCCTATGAAGCAATGTTTAAAAAATCTGATGGAGTTATGGTTATCTTGTATTGTTAATTTAGTTGTCATTTTGTATGCCTTTTAAGTTGACACACTTAGTTACTTCCTCTGAGCAGGTAAGAAAAAATACTACAAATACTAATACCTATGTGCTACAATTTGAATTTTCTACTAGTACTAAAACCAACACATTGTTTTCTGCTACTATGAAAAAAGAAACCAGGAAGAATTATTTAGCAGGGTAAAATGCACAAACAGCCGATTTCTATTTTTGACAAGATTATCAATTTCCACATAGATCTATTCATATATTTGACATCGTAACAAACATTTCCTGGCAAGCAGTAAAGTTTCTCTTCTATTAATTGTGCTCCAACAGTGAATTTCAGTTTCCTTGGAGGAACAGAGCCCACTCCACAGTGGGGCCCATGAAGAACTGGGAGAACCCATTAACCTTACTTGGAGCATTAAGCAAACCATAGTCATTTCCAAATATAAAGATTCTAAATTAAAATGTTAATATATTGTTTTAAATTTGCTATAGAGTACTTGCACATGCCCAAGAGAGACAGAGGGAGATGGGGAGAAAGAGAGAGAGAGTGAAGAAAAACCCTCTAGGGTGATGGCCACAGTTCCTTCTTCATTCTCTTAAGATTTTGAGCAACACGCCTGGTATGTTTTTTAAGCCACTGAGTCCAAGACTCAAACTCCACAGTTGGCCATGTGAGATCCAGCTCTCTGGTTACACTATGCCACTGACTAGCCCTCTAAATTAAACATTTTAGTGATTTTTGAAGCATTACTGCTTATATAGTCTCTTTATGAACAAGAAGTGTCATTATGATTTTCGTTTCTTTTTATAATAAGATTTGTCCAAAACAGCAAAGCTGACAGCCCTACCCTTTATTAAAATCACGGTATTAGCACTGCCTGACTCTAAAAGTAGCCAGTTCAGAAAAAACCAAATTATTCAACTTTACTGCACTTGTGTACAACTGCAACACATTTCCATATGGACGATTACAATAAAATTTTAGCCTGGAACAATTAATGAAAAGATTGGGAAGAGCAGATGGCCTAATGGTTACATTACTGAACTCACGCATGGATGACCACGGTTTGAGTCCCAGATCCAGTGGCTTCAAACTCAAACTGGGCACTTGTGTATGCATGCCCCAAATCCCAAGAGGAGAACAGAGGAGAAGGGATTACGGTGTGGCCATCAACTCTGGGGGGTTATTTCTTGTTTTCTGTCTCTCTGGCAAGCACATGCAATCTGTAGCAAAAATCTCTCTTTAAAATAAAAAAAAAAAGAACAACAACATATTAAAGTTCAGATAAGTAGGCAGCTTTTCCCTGACCAAGGCAGCCAGACTGGAAGAATGGCTGAGTGATGTTGCTAAAGGAAAGAAATGGTCTGAGTTTTTTGAGTATCCTTTCACCCCACTTGGGAGCCAGACATGAGAGAAAACAACATCTAGGTGGAGGGAATGGTCTGGGGAGAAGCACGAATCCATTCTTCAAGGATTCTGTTTTCCCATTAAGTCATTGGGCACTCTGAGCAATCTCTGTTCAACAGTTGGAACCCATCCATCGGTGGAGGGAAAAGAATCAGCACCCATGGCAAGGCCTGGATCTAAAAAAGGGCTGCAGCCATATATTCCTAGCATTTGATCTGTCCTTACCAGCCTACGTATAGTGATGGAATAAATTTGTATTAATCACTCGCCGGAAAGCAAAGTACTGTAGTTTGCTTTTTATTTGAGTAAGTTGATTAATTATTCAACATGAACTATTGTATTATTACAGATTTGAGTTATCAGTGGATTTCATGTCACTTTACAATTTTGAAGTATTTGTTTTTCAACAGTGTCATGTGTTTTCACATCATATTCAATTATGCATTTTAAAAATGAAAATTAAATCATGTACTTTTCACTGTGACTATTAAGGAGCATGATTAGAGGTTGATATTGAGCCATCTGGCTGTGCTTTGGGAAAGGAGAAAGGCTGATGAAGCTGCAGATATATCCTGTGTGTGTTGCGGGGCATTGGCTGAGGAAGGGGTAGGCTCTTTCACAGCTGGCCTTTGAGCAGAACACTGCTGTATTCAACTGCACCTGTGCACAGAGGACCTTACTGTGCATATATTGACTCTGGCTTAATGATGTGACTTTTGACTTGAGAAACAAGCTCCTAATTCTTATCTTAGTTCTTCCCTCGACATTCCTCTTTCTATTTGAGGAACACCTCTAGACCTCTTTACGTTATGCTTCTAGCCCAGTAAAGTGGGATGTCATCTTTGCTAATTACTTAATAATTGCCAAGGACCTGGAAATTTCCAAGAGGTGAATAATTGCCAAGTGAGATCTATCCAGCTTTTCTACTGATTAAATTTATTTCTAAATTTTTAGTCATAAATAAGAAACTTAATTTTGATTCCCTAAAACAATGGTTTCTTATTACACATTGAGAATTTCTGGGGAAGTTGGCATTTAACTCATTAGGAAAAAAGTTTAAAAAATGAAATAAATCTCCTCTGCATTTGAGATGAGCTGCTTAAATTTTCCTACATTGTAATGCAGGATGAGAGCAAAAAAGGGAAGGAGAAGGAGTCAGGAGAGAAAGAAAAGGATAAAGAAAAGGAAGGAAGAAAGGAATGAGTCAAAATCAGAACCTACTAGGCTTAGGGGATCACCACCATATTTGTTTTCCCAGAATGTGCTGAGCAATTAATTTGCATGCTACAGTAGGATGTACTGTTTCCTCTACCATTTGAGCTGAGTTCCTTGAATAATAATGTTATAAGCAAATCTTTATAAGGGGGAAATGTCCTCTTCTCTTTTATAGATACTGTGGAATCTTTGTTCTTTGCTGATTTATAAAAGCAATATTGGGTTCGTGGTGACTGTGTTGTTCACTTTTGTCCTGCGCATTATCCTCACAAATCTGTGAAGTGGGTGTGTATTATTTTCCCCAATATTTTCCCTTACACAAGGCAGTGCAGCTTGAAAGTATCAAGGCTAGGCCCCGAAGGGCAGCCATGACTTGGGGCCAAAGTGGCAAGACAACTTTACCATCCACTTCCTTATCCTAAAGCCTATTCTTTGTCAATCTCAGTTCTGTTAGAGGCATGAGTATGTGAAAGCTCTGGTTCTGTGCACTTTAGGAAAGTTAGACACTTATCCCATCCAGTGTAGGGGTTAGATTACATTCTAAAATCATCTATTACAAAAATCCTCTAGAAAGATAAAATCTTGAAGTTCAACAAATTGTCCCTCAGTAAATCTAACACAAAGTGTCTCTTCTCCATTTACAATAGGTCACTGCTCTGCTCTGCATTTGGGCTTTTTGAGTTTGGTGTATTTTTAGTGGGTCAGAGAAGGGTAGTGGTAGTAAATGAACTGTTGGGGTCAGTATTGAAGGGATTCCAAGACCTGTAATTTCTGTTAAGGTTAAGAAAATATTTGGATGTGTTGATATAGTTAGCATTTTGAACATACCACTAATATCAGATCATTTAAATTTATTTAGAAAATAAAAAGATTACTGAAAACCATAGGAGCCAAGCCTGTGATGCTGGTATAAGGATAGACATATCCACCATTGGAAATAAAGTAAATTCGTGGCCATCTGCCTTTCATTAAGGGTAACAATTCAGTGGGGCATGAAAAGTCTTCCAAAAAATGCTATTGGGACAACTAGAGATCCACATGCATTAGAACTAAGTTGGATTCTTATCTTACATCATATGCAAAAATAACTCCAAATTGATTCAAAAGCTAAAACTCAAACTCTAGAAGAAAACATAGGCACAGATCTCTGTGACTTTGGGTACTACAATATGGATTAACCTAGCAAACATTGTGCCCAATGGAAGAAGACAAATACAGAAGCCACGTAGCGTATGATTCTATTTATGTGAAATATACTGAATAGAGAAATCCATAAAGATTGGAAGTAGATTAGTGGTTGCCAGGGGTGGAGGGGACGAGTGAATCAGGAGTGACCCTAAGAGCATGGGGTTTCTTTTTAGTATATCAAAGGTGTCCTGGAGTTAGTGGTGGTGGTTGCACATCCATGTGAACAGAGTCAAAACCACTGCCTTGTACACTCCAAATGGTGAATTTTATGACATGTGAATTAAATCTCTATCAAAATTAAAATTTTAAAAAAAGAAAGAAAAGGATGTATGCA